CAGACACCACCACATAATTAACTTAAAAACATTCACAGAGCACACAGTATGTGCAGATTTTGAGTATCGGGAGGAGGGCTGCCAACAAAAACACAAAGCGCCTGGTGAAATCTGAATTCCGGACACATTTTTTTGTATTAGCAGTTTCTGTGTGTAAAAAGACAAACTGAGGTAAATTAAAATGTGTAAGAGTTTATCTGAGGGCTTCCCTGGTGGATCAGGGGTAAAGAACCTCCCTGCCAGTGCAGGCGACACAGGTTTGATACCTGACCCGAGAGGATTCCGCATGCAGAGAAGCAAATAAGCCCATGAGCCACAACCACTGGTGCTCCAGAGCCCGGGAGCTGCAACCACTGAACCCCTGTGTGTCCTGCGGCCTGTGCTCCACAAGAGAAGCCACTGCAATGAGAAGCCTGTGCGCCGCAACTAGGGAAAAGTCCACGCAGCAGCAAAGACCCAGCACAGCCCAAAAATTAATGGATAATTTTTTTAAAGAGTTTAGCTGAGCAAAAATCAGTTCCAATCAGGCAGCATCAGATGGAAAGGGGTTAGGAGGGGCCCACCCACAGGAGCTGGGGAAAGACTTAAACAGGGCAGAGAAAGAGCAGAAGCCGAGGAAAGAAACTGACCGGAGGCAGCTGAAAGCCGGTTGGTTGGTCGTGGTGCACAGGCATTGATGAGGCGTTGATTCTGTAAACTGGAGGCGTTTACAGGCCACATGTCAGTTGGCTCACACAGACCACCGAGGCATCAGATCCACCTCTGTCCAGTGGCCTCCTTGTTTAAAGACAGGGGCAAGGACCAGAGCAGCTCTCCTGAGCAGAGTTCCATGCAGGAGAATAAAACTGGGGAGGACAGTTAGGGACCTGCTGTGGAATGTCTTTGATGATGGGCAGCCAACCCTTACCCAACCAAAAGTAAGGGGGTGCGAAATTCAAGAGCCGGCTGTGTGACTTCTTGTGGGGGAAGGACCTCTGTTAGACAAAACACCCAGAAAGGACTTGCTGATTCCGGAAAGGGAATAAACAGGATAAACAAAGACAGACAGTGAGAAGTGAGAAAGCTGACATGCTCAGTAGTAAAAGTAGGAAGAAATGCCATATTCTGTCTGCAAAGGAGACACAGCGGAGTTCTGGAAACAGCCCACGGCAGGAGGGCAAAGGACAGGGAGGAAAGCTTGTCCAGGATGAAATTCTCTATAGGAGCTAAAGAATGTGGAGGAAGGGACTTCCCTGGTGGCCCAGTGGCTAAGACTCCACGATCCTAACAAAGGGGGCCTGGGTTCAACCCCTAGTCAGGGAACTAGATCCCACATGCAGCAATTAAGACCAGTTCAGTTGAGTCGCTCAGTCATGTCCGACTCTTTGTGACCCCATAAATCGCAGCATGCCAGGCCTCCCTGTCCATCACCAACTCCCGGAGTTTACTCAAACTCATATCCATCAAGTCGGTGATGCCATCCAGCCATNTTCTTCACTTTCTGCCATAAGTGTGGTGTCATCTGCATGTCTGAGATTATCTATATTTCTCCCAGCAATCTTGATTCCAGCTTGTGCTTCTTCCAGTCCAGCATTTCTCATGACGTACTCTGTATATAAGTTAAATAAGCAGGGTGACAATATACAGCCTTGACATACTCCTTTTCCTATTAAGACCAATTCCAGCCAAATAAACAAATATGTATATTTTTTAAAACAATAAAAAGAATATGAAACAAGTCCAAGCTTCCATCCTACTACTGGCAGCTACGTCTCTGCCTCTCCCTCACATTTGCCAAGTCTAGAACCGCGATCTCTCAGATGCATGTCTGAAAGGTGAGGAAGAGTGCGTGTGTGACCCACAAAGCTCACATGGCCAAGGCAGAGAGCAAGCCTGGGCAGGATGACAGGAAGGAAGGAGGGATCCCAGAACAGGACATCAAAGTGAAGCATGAACGTGTGAATTAGCTTACCTGGGAAGCCATGCAAATTTCTAAGACAGGAATGCGTCATTTGGCATTAACACAATTTCACTTACATCTCAAAAACAAGGAATCCCACCTAACACCTTGTTGTTCATTCTGACTCTGCAACCCCATGGACTGCAGCACACCAGGCTTCCCTGTCCTTCACTATCTCATGGAATTTGCTCAGGCTCATATCCATTGAGTCAGTGATGCCATCCAACCACCTCGACCACTGTTGCCCCCTTCTCCTCCTGCCCTCAATCTTTCCCATCATCACTGTGGCCCCACATACATAAGCAACCTTTACATCCAACTCCTGAGAGTTTGGGAAAGAATGATGGCATGCATAGATCACTCAGTGTCCATACTGTCCTCCTTCTTCCTGTTCATAACTTATTTTTAACATATTAGCACCATCACCAAGGCTTATGTAATCTCAGGACAAAAGGGCCCACTCACATTGATTCCCTATTCTCTTCATTACCATCTTGGGCAAGATGTGTTTTGGGATGTCAGTTTCACCATTCTGTCCATGTGTTCCCAACAATGTTAAATGAGAAATACCGCTCTGCTTCTACTCCATCACTTCCATGTGTTTCAAAGTAGGCGTGTGTATGTGTGTACATGTGTGTGCATGCACCCTGTTGTGTCTGACTCGTGGGACTCCATGGACTATAGCCCACCAGGCTCCTCTGTCTACCGGGTTCTCCACAGGCAAGAATACTAACATGGGTTGCCATGCCCTCCCCCAGGGGATCTTCCCTACCCAGGGATCGAAGCCCCGTCTCTTGTATCTCCTGCATTGGCAGGTGGATTCTTTACCACTGCGCCACCACCAGGGAAGCCTCTAAATACATGTGCTTCTATGCAAATATTCTGATGAGCTCAAACGTATCTGTGATTATTCCATTCTCGGCAGTGGGTGAACTTATTCCAATCTACGAAAGGCCAATGAAATGCTTCTTGCAGCTGCTTAAAATATTTCTCAGCTGAGGTTCCAATGTTTTCCCCAAAACTAAGTACAAATTCAAAACGACAATGTAAGGGTCACATGGTGTCTTGTTATTTTCAGAATGATGCCTTCAGAATGACATGATTTCACCCATCACCTGGACTGTTCTAGACTGTTTCTTGTCTACAATAGTTGACACTTCAGAAAGTTTCCTCCTGATGGGAAACTGCACTCAGAACAGAGCATCTCCAATGGAGGCTGTCTGACAAGGCATTGGAGCATTAGAGAACAGTCAGGATTCATATGTTTGTCTAAATGGTTACATAACACCCATTGCTAGAGAGACACTGGCAATTAATTTTTGAAATTATTGTGCTGGTTCTCTTTTCCCATCTCCTGAAAAGGTAATCAAAAAGGGCTCGATGATTTGACCTTATCCCTGGAGTGTGTCCATGATCTTCTGGCTTTCTTTGGAGTGTTTGGGAAAGCAGCAAACCTAACCTGCAACCAAGTATTTCCAATTGAAAAGGATGTGATAATGCAAAAGCGACCTGCCTGGTTCCCAGGTCAACGACCCTGCAGCGACCCTGCAGCCTCCCTGATGTTGCTGACCATCTTCCAACCTGCCATCACCTGCCTCTTTCACTTATTCATGCTGCTGTTTCTGGCAAACATTCATCCTGACCCTTACAGCCATTCCCAATTGAACGCATCTGAACTGGTCAATTCCTCTTTGAGTTTTCACAAGAAATCCTATTTCTATTTCAAAAACCCAAAGCAGCAAATATCTATCTACCCTTTAGCAGCAGTGTTTTTTAAACTACTGTTTCTATTTCAGTGCCTTTATCAACAGATACATGCATGAGCTAGGAGTTTACTCATGTTCATTTTATATATGATCTTTTATTAACTCCACAGTTAGCGAGCTCAGATGAGCACACACATGTACTAGGGCCTTTTAATTTAAAACAAAAACACTACCTACCCCTAACTTCACAGAATTTATAGTCTAAAAGTGTTTATTTACCCAAGTCAAACAGATTTCTTAGTGACACATCTTTCTTGCAAGCTATCAGAATTTCTAAGCCATGCATCCACTTAGTAAAAGGGTTTTCTAGGTGGCTCAGTGGTAAAGAATCCACCTGCAAAGCAGGAGATCCTGGTTTGATCACTNACCAGGAATTTAAATGGCCAAACTACCAAGAAATGATGCAAGTGAAAAGTGAAAGTGTTAGTCACTCACTCTTTTGTGAGCCCATGGACTGCAGCCCACCAGGCTCCTCTCTGTCCATGGGATTTCCCAGGCGAGACTACTGAAACCCAGGTGTTACTTAATCCTGCCACCACTCCCATGATGGAGGGACAGATGACTCTATGTCCCTTTTTCAGGGGAGGAATCTGAGACTCAGAGCATAGAAGTTACCTGTTTAACCTCAAAACTGGCAAAAGCGCTGCGCCTCCTCCCCTGACCCCCACTCTCCTTCCTCTAAGGGGCCAGTCTCCCCGCTTTCTGCCCCATGGCTCCACCAGAGAGGCCCTTGGTGCCCCCTTAGCTGACCTCACTGTGCCAAGAATTACTCAGTTCTCCTGGGCTTCCGTGTGTACAAAGCACCATCAGAACCCAGGGTCTTCGTTTCAGTCCTGCTGGGCTCTCTCACTGTGACTGGGAGAACAACAGCTGGTTCCTCCTCACTCTTGCCAAGATCCCTCCTTGTTCCCTGAACCAGTTTAAGCAATCAGATGCCTAAGAGCAACATTGTTACCTCCAGGTCCAACTCCTGTCATTCTGGGTGAGAAACCAAGAATTCATCATTGGGCAATAACAGCAGGGATGAGAAAGCTGATCAGCTTGTCCACTGGGTGCTTCACTGTCTCTGCCCCATTTATTTGAGCTCTCCAATTAGCAGTAGAACCCCATGCCAGAAGCAGAAAGGCATGCATGGCCTCAGGCTAACTGTCTCACACCTCCGGCAATGAGGGACACTCACCACCAGAGCCGCCTGAGGTTGTCTAATTCCTGTTCTTTGTTTTTCCATCTCGAGGGCAAGTGGGCTGCGCCGTGGGGACACGGGCCCATCACTGACACTCTTCTGTCCTGTGCAGAACCTGAAGCGGGTGGCGGAGACCTGGATGGACGAGTTCGCTGAGTACATTTACCAGCGGCGCCCGGAGTACCGGCACCTGTCACCCGGGGACCTCTCGGCGCAGAAGGAGCTGCGCAGACAGCTCAAGTGCAAGGACTTCAAGTGGTTCATGGCAGCCGTGGCCTGGGACGTGCCCAAGTACTACCCTCCGGTGGAGCCCCCGCCCGCGGCCTGGGGGGAGGTGAGGCGCCCGGCTCCCCCGCCCCCAGTGGAAAACAAAGACTGCGTCCCCCGTCCCCAGCGGGGGTGGGATGGGGGCTCAGCGGTCAGTGAAGGTCGGCTGAAGCCACCTCTGAGAAGCGTCTGTTTAGTCTCTCTAGGAGCTGCTGGGGAAGGGCAGTGAGCTCACCCCTGGAGCCCCTGGCCACTGTTGACTCTGAAAATTGATTTTTTTAAAGGCACCTGGAAAATATTTTGATTTGAGATTGGTGAAACTGCCATAAGCACTGACAGAGAATGAAAATGTCTCTGGTGCTGCTGTGTACATAAATGTGCCGTGATGTCCATGATAAAACCCCTCCATCCTCGCACGGCCTGGTTGCTATTTGTCCGAGCAAGGATAAGGTATCCAGGGGCTTGGCAGCTTTCGTAACCAGGTATGACAGGCAGAATCACAAGGACAGACTTTTCCAGAATACCCAGCACAGAGGCACGTGTGGAACCTCATGGGTTCCTTGATGGAGGTTTGGTTGCCCAGTCGTGTCCAACTTCTTGCAACCGCCTAGACTGTAGCCTGCCAGGCTCCTCTGTCCATGGGATTTTCCAGGCAAGAATATTGGAGTGGGTTGCCATTTCCTTCTCCAGGGGATCTTCCTGACCAAGGGATCGAACCAACCTCTCTTGTATCTCCCAAATTGTCAGGCGGGTTCTTTACCAGCTGAGTCACCAGGGAAGCCCCACTGGCTCCTTAAATCAGGACTAACCTTCCCACTTCTGAGTGCTACTTTTTAATTTTATTTCATGATCTAAAACGGAAAGAACTGGAAAGCCTCCGTTGGCAAATTCAAAGCATGTATCTTTGGACACGTAAAGGACTCTTGTGATGGGTTCAGTTCCATTCAGCCCCACTTGTTCCCTTAAGACAGAGCGTGCTAGAGCAGGGATTCAAATGCAATGGTGTGGATTTAGCCTGTGGTCTCATCTGCTCATGGCAGATGACTGGGCAGGATGTTCTCACCATTCCAAGGCTCTGGGCTTTCGGAAGCCACGCGCAGACTGTCTCGCCTCATGAAGGAGTCTCTCCATCGTTGTCCTTGGCTTTGTGGTGTGGGGAGACGGTGTCTTTACCTGCATCTGTGACTTAGCAGAGTTCTGAAAACAGGGGAGGCCTGCGTGCGGCAAGGGGGGTGGAGGGGCGAGGGGGAGCATCCTGGGGATGTCCAGGCTCCCCGGGGAAACTCCTTCAGGGAGTTACCTGTGTGCTGCTTGTTTCACTGAGAGGCCCAAAGAGATGTCGTTCTCTATAGACCTGGAATACCACCGGCAAGAAGGATGGAGCCAAGACCAGCACCACACGCTCCATCTCCTAATGTTTTCCTACATCATGTGGTCCTGACCATGGATGCTTAAGTCAGTGAGTACTTTGGTCTTCAATCTGGAGCATCTTGGGGATTTCCAGGGGCTCAGATGGTAAAGAATCTGCCTTCAATGCGGGAGACCCAGGTTTAATCTTGGGGTTGGGAAGATTCTTTGGAGAAAGGAATGGCAACCCACTCCAGTATTCTTGCCTAGATAGTTCCGTGGACAGAGGAGCCTGGTGGGCTATAGTCCATGGGGTCACAAAGAGTCAGACATAACTGAGGAACTAACACTTTCACTTTCTTTCCAGTGCATCTTAAACATTTCATTAATGCATCCCTGGGATATTAATAATATTACGTTGCTAGTATTCTTTTTGTTATCTACCAGGAACTTAATTTACAGCCACAGAAATTTAAGGTAGACTCCAGATAGCAATGTCTAACCCATTGTAAGACTTAAGAATTTGTTCCCCAATAAGTAGGTAAGTTTCTTCCCCGAGTTTTTTTGGTTGAGGTTATATCTGTCATCTTTCTATAATGATCTAAAAATGGTCCTGCCTTAGTGACCAAGAATATCCTCCAAGACCTCCCAGTATCACTGTTGATTCACAGCTGTGTTAAAATCTCATCCATCTTCTCCCTCTGTGGAGTCATATTTTTTTATTCCTTCCCATTACCACCTAAACTGCAACTGATCACATTTTCCCACATTTCCTGACTAAATAATAACTTGCATTTATAAAGCACCTTGGGGGGGAAGAAAGCATCTTACTTGGAAACAGATTTGAAATTTCCCTGAGGTTCTAGAAAAAATACAACTTCGCAGGAAAAACCAAATGAGAACCATCTTAAAATCAGGTAGGCGATGCCAGTTTCTTTATCTATTACTCTCTGTCTTGGGGTGGGTTTTTTTTTTTTTTGAGTTTTTTAAATTTTATTTTTAATTGGGGGTTAGTTGCTTTACAGTATTGTGTTAGTTTCTGCCATCCATCAGCATGAGCCAGCCATAGGTATACACACGTCCCCTCCCTCGAGAACCTCCCTCCCGCCCCTCCAGGCTGTCACAGAGCACCAGATTTGAGCCCCCTGCATCACAGGACAGATTCCCACTGGTTATCTGTTGCATCTGTTAGTCTCAGCTGTCTCATATCGCCACATGGTTGACCTGGGATGTTGAGACATTTGAGATCATCATTCCTGGTCTATATAATCAGACATGGAGAATGTCAGAATTTTTTTTTTTAATATAATGGCAAATTTCTTTCCCCAAACCTTCAGAACAGCAAACCAAGAAAGGTCATGTTTAGGTTTAAGAAAAGAAGGTGGCAAAGTAGTTCTAGGACCAGTTACATTTAGTGACATTTATTCAGTGAGGGGGTGACATACAGCAAGGATGAAGACTCAAGATGGGGGGAAGGCAGAAGGAAGGGAAATCAACAAATGACAGAGTTTAGGGTGTGAATCATACTGAAAAATACCCATTTCCCAAGCAGAGGAGAGTAAGAGTCATGCCTGGACACTTAATGCAGGGGGCAAGTACAGAGTCGGCCAAAAAGTTTGTTTGAGTTTTTCCATAACATGGAAAACCCAATATTTGCAATGTAGTTCAATCAAAATGAAGTGAAGAACAGGAAAGACCTGTTGTCTCAAAGGAAACACCATTGTCTAGCTCTATATTGCATAACAGCAGCCTACTTCTTAATGGTAGATAAAAATTCTAAATGTGCAGAATATATCTGTGGACCCATTTCATCGCTGAAAGAAATTCAAAGGTTTCACTCATGTTTTTCTTTTCCCTCTAAGTGGGGTGCTGTTGTTTATTACTTTATTTTGGAACGATTTTAAATGTACAGAAAATTTGCCAAAGAAGGTACAGAAGGCTGACATACATCTTTCATCCGCTCCTACTGTTAGCATCATATGCTTGTGACGTTAACCACGGCACATTTAAGCCCAGTGATTAGTACTGCTGGGCTTCCCAGGTGGCACTAGTGTTTAAGAACCTGCCTGCCAATGCTGGAGACAAGAGACGCAGGTTCGATCCCTGAGTCGGGAAGGTCTCCTGGAGTGGGGCATGGCAACCCTCTCGAGTATTCTTGCCTGGAGAATCCCATGACAGAGGAGCCTGGCAAAGCTGCAGTCCATGTGGTGGCAGAGTCAGACACGCTGGGCACAGAGCACAGAGTCCACAGTTAGTACCGGTACAAACGAACTCAACTGCAGACTTTATTCAGATTTCACCAGTTTTACTTTTCCCTAATGTCTGTTTTCTGTTGCAGGGTCCAATCCAGTATGCGAAAAGGCTATTTTATTCCCTATAAACTTTAATTTTCCGCATGGGCCACACTCCTACATGAATGTAATAGGTCACTCGCTGTTTTGATAAGAAAGTGAAAAGGGGAACACACACACTGTGTGTGTGTGTGTGTGTGTGTGTGCGCGCGCGCGCGAGCACACACACTCACTTTAAAGCAGTGGTCACAAGGAACCACAGCGCTCCAGCAATGAAAACATAGAATCTTTGGTTGGCGCCCTGCGGCAGGAAGCAGGTAGCTTGCTGTCTTATTCGCTTGTACTTGGAACGGCTTCCCCTGCTCGTCCGTGCCAGCCCAGCCCCAGGTAAACAGTGAAGTGCCGGGGCAGTTTCAGGCGCTGGTCGCTGGAACCCAGCTGGAAAGGATGTGTGCGTTACAGACCATAAACAGCANATCTCTGGGAGTTTGCTCAAACTCACGTCCATTGAGTCAGTGATGTCATCCAACCATCTCATCCTCTGTCATCCCCTTCTCCTCCTGCCCTTCAATCTTTCCCAGCATCAAGGTCTTTTCCAATGAGTCTACTCTTCAGATCAGGTGGCCAAAGTATTGGGGCTTCAGCTTCAGCATCAGTCCTTCCAATGAATATTCAGGTTGACTTCATTTAGGATGGACTGGTTTGATCTCCTTGCAGTCCAAGGGACTCTCAAGAGTCTTTTCCAGCACCACAGTCCACATATAGTATATGCTCAATAAATGCTTACTAAGTGAATAAACAACAAAGAAATGGAGGATCCTGACACCGTGTCACCTCTGCATGCACAGCTGTTTGCAGGCCCCCACAGAAAGCCAGACTCTGGCCCACCTCACCACATGGGAAGGATCTCCACACCACCCCCTGGCCAGTCTGCAGAGTCTGCCTCTCTGGGAAGCCTGCCTGGGAAGAGAAGGTATGAATGATGAATCTCAGGTGACTGATTCCGATGGACTGACAGGACCATATTCCAAACCATAGTCCGGCAAGATAGGAAACCTTCTCTTCTAACATCCTAAGGAGAAGAAAAGCCTCCAAAAGCAAAAATCCTCTGTGTGAACAATTTCCAAACTCCCCCTGCCAGCTTCCTACTCCAAAGGCAAGAAGAGATTAAAGTCACCTCTGATGGAGGCATCATTCTGTCCTCCGGTCACCAGGGTAGTGGGTGGAGTGAGGAGGCGACAGGCCCTGAGAGAATAAATGGGATTTTGAGTCATGTAGCAAGCTGAGCATCTCTTAGTGCTCTTCATATAGAAGCAATGCACTTTCCATGATATTGTGCCAGAGAATCTGGGTGAGAATGGGTTTAAATCAGAAAGCTCTTCTTAAACCAGGCACAGAGGAAGTGAGTGTCTCTTTGTGTCAAAATGCT